TCCCTGCAGGTCTTTCAGACTTCCTGACCTGCAGAAACTGCTTTGGGGAGAGTATATCTTCCATATGGTGTAGAATTTATGCCCCTCATTCAGGGCATGGGTGGCAGTGTATTTCTCCCAGCAAAAAAATGCAAATTATTCTGTTGTTGTTTTAAGATGTGTTGCTAGCCCACAGCATGTAAAGCCATGTGCTGCAGCTGGCGTGGAAGAAATCCACTGGGACATGATGCTAGTTATGTGCTGCCACAACTGGCTGGTGGCTGACAGAGCCTAATTGTCTAGATTTCTGTTCTGGATAGAAATCAAGGCAGGGAGCTGGTTCAATCACTTTGGCATTGAATTGTGCAGTTGCAGAAGTACAGCATGGAGTTAGCTGTACCTTGGTAGTTACATGTGGAGTTCTGAGTTGGGATCTGCTCCATCATGAGTTTCCTGGGGAAACTTGTATTAGGCTGTTTAAATAGGATCCCCAAAGGTGCTCTAAGGCTTTCAGGTGTGTTGTTGGGTTAGACACAGGGGATTTGCCTTGTTCCCCAGGATTTCAGAGTCTTGAAGTGTCTGAGGTTGTTTGCCAAGAGATTTTCTCCATGTAGAAGTGAGCAGACTGAGCCTTCATAAGTGGGGGGAAAACAGGACTCTTACAGGCCATTCAGTTAGCCAAGAGCCTAAGGCTTGCAAGAACCAAGGTTCTTAGTACATCTGTGGGTCCTGTCCTTAAACTCCGGGCGTTTCCAAAGTGAGGAAGTCATCTGTCCTGAAGGTGCAGGGCTGCAGTAAGGTGAGATTGTGAAGCACCAAGATCATGAGCCTTGCAGATAAGAAGAAGGAAAAGATGGCTGTCTGGTGGAAAATAGTATATGGAAAGTTATCTTTCCCTTTTTTTCTCATCTTGCTCTTGTATGACTGCCCTGCCCTGTGCACACACCACCTCTCTTCTTTGCGCTGCCCATATGTTTGAGCCCAGGACTTCTTGCTGTCACTGGAGCCAAGTCGGTATGGGGTCCAGAGCAGCTGCTCTGTCCTTGAGGCACTGTCCTCTGTCAAAGAGACAGGACCACCAGAGCCTGGGGAAACAGCATAAGAGCTGGATAAATGTGTTATGGCTGCTGGGGCCTTTCAAGAGGAATGCTGTGGGCATCAGCCCAGCTGTGAGAGCTGGGCACTGTGCAGCTGCTGTGCTGGGTGCCCCATTCATGTGCAAGACCCCCTTGTGCTGCTGCAGCACTAGAGAACTCTCCTGGGCTTTGCCAGGGTGCTCCCAGAGGAACTCCAGTATTGTAAACAGACAGTGCTGCTGCTTCAGACCTACTAGAGGTCCTCAACCTGTGGTCCATGAGAGATGCTTAGGCATGGCAAGTGCCTAGCTAGGCTATTACAAAGGACATACATCCAATGCACCTTCTCAGTTAGCTCTTAGGCATAACAACTCAAAGTGGGCTCAAGATGTTGAGTTGTCTGAGTTGTATTGACTTGGGAAATCTAAAACAGGCTAGCAAGAGTCCCTGGCCTGAATATGATAGAGCTGAACAAACTTGTGGCCAGCCTAAATGTTTCATTCATTATCCTGGCCTGGACTCCAGTTCATTTTCTCTTCCTATGCTTGCAGATTGGAAGTGCCCTCAAGCCCTTGGAGTGAGAGGTACTACCTCTTTAATTGGAGCAGCACTACTTTTTCTGGAGAAAGGCTGCATTGTGGATGGTGGTGCCACTGAAAAAATCTGTCCAGCTAAACAATAGGCAGCAGCTCTGTCCCCAGGGCCCCCTGGGGTGCCTGGTCCTCCCAGGCAGGCAGGACAGCACCCGTCAGCTGATCAGCAGCTGCTTGCTGAAGCTGAAGGCAGTCAATTTCAGGTGCTTGTGGGAGCAGGGTCTGGTTCCCCCCATGCACTTTGCGTGATGATGGGTGCTCAGCTCTGTCTGCCGCAGCATTGTTGTGTGTGTGGTTGAGTCTCCCCTCTCCTGTGCTGCAGAGCTGCTCTTCTCTCCAGACACTGGGAGGGAAGCAGAGATGGCGGGGGAAGAGCTGTGGAGGTGGGGAGAGATTGAGCTATCATTAGTGTGGCACCAGTGAGGTTTCTTTGCACCACGAAGCAGTAGCTATTGAAATTTGAGTGCAGTATGCTGAACAGCTCAGCAAGGGAACAGATGCTGAAAGGAGCCTGCAAAAAGGATTTTGGAGGAAACAACCCTTCTTTCAACTGTCCACAGGCAGAGCTGTGGTGGGGAGTGGGAATTGCCTTTTTATGGTGATTGATCTGCACAGCCCCTGGGATGCTCAGAAAGCAGATTAAGGAGAAAATAATCACAGGAGAAGGAGGAGGTGGAGGTTCCCCTTTGAAATGCACGAGCTAATAGAAAACATCCCTCTGAATTGTCAGTGTGTCAGGTTACATTAATGTAAGTATAATGTTTTCAAATCTTCAGCTTCTTCTCCTGAATGTCATTGAATTAGTGTTAATGCATTTGTTAGCTCATTATTCAATAATATTCAATATTCCTTAGACTGGCTCTTTCTCTGGAAGATGGGGATATTGAGACATGGGACTGGCTGCTGGGCCATGCTGTAGCTGTGCTTAATGTGGTTGGAGTGTGGTTTTATGTACCAGAATGGCCTTTGGTGATTGTTTTATTGGTACTTATGTCTGGCCTACATTGTATCAGCTCTTGGTCAGTGATTTACCAGAAATTAGTGGAATTCTTAATGGGAGAATAGTGCTAATGATGATGTGGATGAATTTCCATCAACTCCTGGCCTGAAAGCAACTGGCGAGACAACTGATGAAGGCAAATTTTGATCTTTTGGCCTGCAGTCAGAGTTGCAAAACTGTCTCTGTAATCATCAGGCTGTTTGTTGCTGTCTTCATCAGTGAGTCATGGAGTCTCCCTTTCAGCCCCAGCACCATCCTTTGCTTCTTGCCCTCAGGAGAGATTCTCTAGATCTGAAGATGTCTTCTCATCCTGCTTTTTTCCCTGTTTCTTTCTGTTCCCTCCTGCCCCTTCTCTCTTTTCTCTCTATTCATTTTTATTTCTCTTTTTTCCCATGGTTTTCCCATCCTATCTTCCGTTCTCCTGCCATTTCTGACTATGATGACAGAGTAGGAGATGTGAACAGCAGGCTTTCCCTAGCAAGTAACCAAGAGGCATCCAGAGGTGCTGGCTGATGTGGCCAGCACACTCAGCACCCCAGGTCCTTTCAAGACCAGCAAGACTTGGGTCTCTCATCCCTGGGAAGGGCTTTGATGACCTAGGTCCAGTAGGATGCTGCTGCTCAGGTCCTCTGCCAGACTTTCCCTTCGACTAGCAAGTCTTTGTGAAAGACTTTGCTTTGCTCCCCACCAAAGTGTGCACGGCAGGAAGAGTGGCCAAATAGGTATCTAGCTCCTTCACAGGGCTGTGAGGGTCCTCCTGACAGTGTGGCATACCTGGGGCACTGTGCACCAGCCCTTTGTTCAGGGCTGTCCTCCCTGTGTCCCATTAGCTGTGCTGGGCCAAGGGAAGGTTGAGAGGAGGCCTCAGAATAGTCCTGAGGCTCAGTGTAAGAGAGAGGAGGTGTTGCTTCAGGGTACAGCTGCATAGTTTTGATCAGAAAATCTTGGACTAGAAATCCCACAGCAACAGTTCTCTGGTTTCAGTGGCAGTGCAGTTTTGGGAGGAAAGCACTCAACATCCAAGCTGCTGAGTCTGGGTCTGCCAGGAGCAGAAGGGACTTTAGAAACTGGAGTAAAAGGAATTAAAAAGAGGTCAAGGTTTTCTTTTTGATACATCACTCTGGCTTTGGGGTGGATTTTGTGTGCAGGTTATCTAGATTTGAGTACATAAAAGTTACTGTGGCAATTTGGGTCAGTGAACTCCAGATAAGCTGAATCTTCCAAACTTTCCTACTATCAGCTACCTTTTGAGCTTTTTACCTTGTGCTTGAGTGTAGGCATGAGTACATAGATTCCAACTTCCTCCTGAGCAGTTGTTTTCCATTGTTCCACTTCCAAAGTATTTCTAGATGCTGGCTGCTGCATCTGGCTCTGTGCTGCCTGTTCAGGAACCTGGCTCAGTTATTCAGTAGAATAAGAACCAAACAAAATCTCCTGCAAGTCCAAAAGAAACACCTGCAAAGCCCTGGATTGCTGTACTGGCTCACTGCAGAATGTTTTGCCTGTGGTCTGCTGAAAGGGTCTTTTAAAACCCTTGACCATGGGATTCAGCCTTTGCACTGTCCCAGTGAGACCTCTTTGCTTTCCCTTGTAGCAAGAGTTGGTGCTGGGCACTTGCAGACTTGACTGTCTGCTCTTGCCTGGACAAACAGGGAAGGGTTTTCCTGCGAGAGGAAAATCCTCCACAAGGAAGTGGGACAACACTTGCATGGACAGTGCCAAAATAACCAGCACCTCATTTCATTTGCTCCCCAGAGACTTGAGGATTCTTCAGACGTGGGCATAAACTGTCTCCTCCTGGGGCAGCTGTGGGCAGGCTGGGCTGCAGCCCAGGGCTGCTGGTGCCTGAGCCCTGCACTCATCTGTGCTGGATTGGTTGGGCCTGGTGCCTGTGGGGATTTGTCTGTGTTTGTCTCTGGGAGGGTGAAGTGGCAGAGAGAAAAATGTGTTCGTGTTCAGCTGGGCCGAGATGAAATTAAGACACACTGGAATAGAAGACTTTAGGAATGGAGGGTTTCCAAGGTTTTGTGATTGCAGGATGATAATAGAGTGATTTCGTGGGACTCTTGACAGCTCTGCCTTTATACCTCCATGCCAAGGTAGAAGTTACGTCTTCCACTGTAGTTTCTGTCAGTTAACTTTGTTTTGTTCTTACCCCAGACAGATAATATTTGTACTTTCTGCTTGCTGTCATCTTCTGAATCCTAGAAAGCAATGTATCCTCAAGGAAAGTCTGACCTCTGGCTTCTTGTTGTTCTGGGGCTGATATGCTCTGGCACAACAGGGAGCCTGCAGCATCTAGGGGGTGGAGGAACAAATAAGTACGTGAGACTTGAGTGGTATTCGGCTGAAATGGCAGCTAAAGGGTATGATGTATGGCATGGAGAAAGACAAAAGGCAAAGCATCACTTAATGATTTTAATTCCTCTAATCTGGGAAGCATTTAATTTGCCTACTCTGGGAAACAGCGAAGAGTTACCTTGAGCATTGCCTCATGCTGGGATAGGGCTAGACTATGGTTGTAGGTCCAAAGCATGTATAGCTAAATGCTCATGGTAAAGTCACACTGCTCTGATTTTTTTTTTTCTTTTCTTCTCCCCTCTGACAGATCCTGGTGACTATAGGATCACCCTGAGATGAGCCACCCATAGCCAGCCCCAGTGCCAGGGCTCGCTGCCCCAGGACAATGAGGAGCCATCTGCCAGCCTAACAGGAAGATTTTGTGGCAGCACTTCTTTCTTCCCAAACCTCCTGGAATTTCATGTGACAGCAGAGCCACTTTCTGTGCCCCCCTGGCACCACCTGGCAGCCAGGGGCTCGGTGGGGGAGGGCCAGCACCATGGCAGCCAAGCAGCCCCCGCCGCCGG